CCATCAGAGAACCCCGGAATTGGGATAGCAGGGATGGAGCAGCCACAGGGAGGATCTGCAGCCTCCTGCTGCACTGTCTGTGCCTGCCTGAGGTGCAGCAAACCAGCAAAGTGTCCAGAGGAATCGCAAAAACACCCACCTGACGGCTCCAGGCACACCAAAATCCCACTCCACAGGGATTTGGGAAGCTGGGAGCACCAAGAGGAAAGGGTCAGTGGCAGCAAGGACAGCTGCTTTAAGGACAGACACAGGTCCAACCCCCAGCCTGCCCAGTGCCAGGGACATGACCTCCCATCACTCACCTGGAACAACAGGAGCCTCCCCTGCCTGATCTACTGAGCCATCTTGTCATCATCCCTTCTTCTCCTTCCCAGTGTGCCCCTGCACACCTGCTCTTCCTCACCTCCTCTTCCTCCCCTCCCAGCATCCAGGTAGGAGAGAAGGCTGCAGGGCTCCCCACAAGGCCCCTCAGCTCCAGGCAGGAGCAGATCCATCTGCAGTGCCAAGGCTGAGTGAAGCAGGGCTGTGTGTGCAGCCAGGCCTGTTCAGCCCAGCACTTTTCTCCTGGAGTATTTTGAGATAATCAGCATTCCTCTACAACTCTCTCCCTGCCTCAGCAGCGAGGCCCCTGGGAATCATTGTTCAATTACTTTTGGCAGGGAGATTTTTCTCTGGGAGCCCCTTAATGGGAAAAACTGAGCATTAGGACTTGCAGTAATTCCTGCCCCCACAGTGACCAGCAGAGCTTTGTCAGCACAACCCCCAGCACTCCAAGCAGGGCCTCAGAGGTGGAAATAAAGCCCAGGCTCTCACGTGGTGTCCTCCCAGCGCTGCAGGCACTGGCTGTGGAAGCTGTGGTTGCACAGAGTGGTGAGGATCCCGTTCACAGACTCATCCATCCTCTCCAGGCACACGGTGCACTTGGGCAGCTCTGTCAGGTCCATCACGGGCAGGCTGGCCCCCTGCAAGCACCAAGCACAGAGAAAGTGCTCAGCACCTTCCCAGCACCAGCAATCAACTCCAGCTTCCCATCACTGCTGGCACCAGGGGTCAAAACCATGACACAGGAACGCTGTGAGGCCGCACAGTGGTTGGGAATTTATTGCAAAGGTAAGAAAGTGATCCCCAACATTCAAAGGGCCACAGCCAGGGCTCACTGAAGGGGCTGCACCTGCAACCAGCCCCACTGTGCTCTGTGGAGTCTCTAAACTACAACCCAAGGCAGGTTTAAGTCACAGCTGAGGGACAAAGTCCACGGAGTCACCACACAAACTCTTCCAAGGAGCACTGGAATGGGAAATGGAGGTGGGGATGATGTATTAAGGCATTTTTGCTGTTTATTCTTAAAAAAATCCTGTTAAAACCTTCTGAAGTGCAGGGCAAAAAAATCAAACCAAACTTACATCTTCTGACTTGAAGACTTCAGCCCTCTCCACATAGACGAGCTGGCAAACGTCCTCCTCGATGGAGTTGAACTGCCGGCCATTGCAGGCCATGTAGAAACTGTCTGCATCAGCCTGGCCACAGAGCAGGGGAAACTGGTTACAAACAGAAAAATCCCAGCTGATCCACCCAAGGGAGAGGAGGAGAAACCTCCCATATCCTCCCTTTTTCCCTGGAACACCAGAGGGGGGTTTCAGCCAGCTCCAAGCACTGCGTTTTGGTGCTGGGTTTGGCATCAGCTCTGAAGACACGAGTGAAGCTCAGGGCAGTGACACCATGCTGACACTGGAGCATTCAGCAGGCATTGGGGATTCCCCTTCTGCACCTGTTTTACCCTCTCTTGGCAATTTCAGTACATTTGTAAAGTAAATTTGGTCTCTGCAAAAATGTAAGAGGCTGCTGCCAGGGACAGGAGCAACAGTTGAACTGTGGGACAGAATCCATTCACCACTCACAGCCCAGGCACCTTCCAGGGCAGAAGAGGCAGAACCCACCCAAACCCTGCCAAATCCACCATCCCTCAGGATGTCCCAAAACCCTTTCTCCACCAATCAGCTGAAAGCCACATTCTCACTCTCCTGGTGATTCCAGGCAGGAGCATAAAGAACCTGGAGGTTTGTTTTGCCACCTGCAGGCACAGCCATTAGGGGTCAACAGAGCTTCAGGGAATTACCTGAGAAACAGGAATTTCAGGGTGAACTGAGCAAAAGTTTAGGGATTTGCTGCAAGGCTGGTTAGCACTAAATATTTACCTGAGTAATTTAATGCAACAGGAGATACAAAACCATCTTGGTAACTACTGCAATTAGCACAAAACTCACACAAATCCTCCATCTGCACAAAAGGCTTGGGGAGATCTCTCCCTGAACTCCAGAATAAATCATGTGGAGCTGGGAGAAGAGAATGTCCAAGTGAAAGGATCCACAAAAGAATTAGGGGGGGAATTTAAACATGCCCAGCCCAAGGGGCCTGAAGGTGCAAACTGTGTTATCTGGGTACCAATTCACCCCCAGGCTCTCAGACTGGGGGGCCTGGCAGTGGAAATCACCCAGCTCCTCAGAAAAGCAGGAAAAGTCTTTCTTAAAACAAAGGGAGCTCCCCTGGCTGGGTCTTTTCTGTTCAGCACAGCACAAGACTATGAACAAGCTGAGAGACAGCAGAGAACTCTGTAAATGGATTAATTTTTGAAAAATATCCTGCCAAAAGAACAGGACAGCCAGAACATGGCATCCACTGCTTCCAGGTGTGGGACTCATCTCAGCAGCCCCAGGAATTCTCAGGGAAGGAGGACAGGGCTGTTTCTCCATGAGTAAGTACAACCCTGGCTCAGGGCTGCCCAGTGAAGCCACCAGATCAGTGACTCTGTGTGACATTCCTGCAGCCAAGCAATGCTGGAAGCACCTTACCTGGGAGCTGAACTTGATGAGCACCATGTACTGGTTTGGGGTGGAGTCTCTGATGATCTTCATGTGCTCAATCACTTCGTAGAAGGAGGCCACAAACTTCATGAGGTCGTGGCTGGTCATGGTGGCGGGGACAGTGAGGATGCAGAGCATGGCACTGCGCCGCACGTCCTCCTTCAGGGACGTCATCTTGCTGGGGACACAGCAGGGACACAGCTGCACACACAGCTGGACACACAGCTCCAGCCACACAGTCACAGCAACTCTGCTGTCAAACTTTAACCCTCTTTTGTCATCGGTGAGTGACCACAAACATTCATCCCAGGATGAACCTGGGAGCTCCAGGAACAGTGGGATTGTTTGACACCTGTTTTTTCTATAAAAACAGCTGAAGTTTGCAAGCCCCAGATGTTCAGCACTATCCCTAGAACAACTGAGCAAGGTTTGTTACTATTGCCAATGCCCATTTGGTGGCTCCTGATCTCCTTTCTTTCAGGAAGGTCTGAAATAGGAGTTCTCACACAATTATAGGGGAGTGGTGTGGAATTGGAACCCCTGGAATACAGGATGAGACCTCCTGCCTCACACAGCTCCCAGGATTGTCACCAACCCCAGAGATCACTATTTAATTGTGGGATCCCTTGGAAAACTGCTTTCAAGTACATGCTGGGAATGATTTTTTTTTTTTTTGGTTGAATCTGTGCTTGTCTTACACTCTCACAAGCCCTCAACACCCCCAGTGTCACACACAGCTGTCACAGGTGCCACCCACAGCCCCAAGCTCCACCATTAACAGCAGCCACTCTCTGCATTCCCAGGAGCTAGTCACCCTTCCTGTTTGTCCCCAGCCAGGAGCCACAGCCCCAGGGTGGCCAGCTCACCCTCCCATTGCCACCTGAGCTACGACAAATGAGGAATTCTTACTTTGTTTTGTACAGGTGCATAATTCCATGAACGATTTCAACCGAGGGATTCCCGCTGAAGAAGGAAATCTGGTCTGGGAGCTGCTTGGAAGGCGAGTCTGGAGCAGCCTCACACTCCTTGCTTTGATCCTCCTGTTTGGTTTTGTCCTCAGCTGATGCAGCCTCTGAGGATTTTCTTCCCTCCATGGCAGCTTGTGCTTCATCTTTCACAAAGGCAAAATTTCCCCTTTACTGAGGGAAAGGGACCACCAGGATCACCCAGTGCAACCCTACTGAGACACCCAGCAATCCCACCCTGGAGCTTTATCCAGCCTCTCCTGGAGCTGTGGCAGCCTCGGGGCTGTGCCCATTCCCTGGGCAGTGCCCAGCACCCTCTGGGGAGAACCTTTCCCTGATCTGCACCCTAAACCCCTGACACAGCCCCAGCGGTTCCCTGGGCCTGTCCCTGTCCCAGAGCTCGGGGCTGCGGATTGGGATGAGGTCAGTGGGCAGTGCCCACCGGGAACCCTCAGCTCTGCCCCCCCGGGAACCCCCGGCTCTGCCCCCCCCGGGAACCCCCCCCCGCATTCCTGAACTTCTCCGCTCGTTCCCCACCCCGCAGTGCCCGCTCCGGCCCCGCACACCCCCCAGCACCGGGCCCCCGCCCCGCCTGGCCGGTGACAGCACCGGGACGCGCTCCCCGCCACGGGGCCGCCCCCAAACCGCCCCGGTGCCCGCGGCCGGTACCTGCCCGCGGCTGGATGGTCTCGATGATCACGTCGGTCATCTCCCTGCGGCCCAGGTGCTGGTGCAGGATGGCCGCCCGCTCCCCGGGGCCCTTCCCCTCCAGGCAGGCGGGCACGGCGGCGGGGGCCGCGCCGGTGCTCTCCGCTGCCATGTCCGGAGCTGCGGGGACAAAGCGGGCGCTGGGACGGGGCGCCGTGCGCGGAGCCGCGGGACCGGCGGCACCGGGACGGCCCCGGCGGCAGCTGCGCGGTGCGGAGCGGGCCCCGCCGCGCTGCCCCGCGCCCCGCCCGTGCCCCCGGCGGGGGGAACCCACCGGCCGCGCTGTAGGCGAAGCCCGCGGGCAGCGGGGAGGTCCCGGCCAGCTCCAGCCGGATCACGACCAGGGACACGCTCATGGGCTCCGCGGGGCCGCCGCCGACCGGGACCGGGACCGGGACCGGCGCCGCCACCGCCTCCCGCACCTTTCCCCTCTGACCCCGTGACGTCACGGCGCGGTGACGTAGCAGGCGGCGGCTGCGGCGGCAGCGCGCGGGGGGCTGCGAGGGGCGGCCGCTGCTTCTCGCGAGAGTTCGGGGTACGTTCTCGCGAGAGCGGGAGCCTTGGCCGCTGCGGGCGGCCCGGGAGGTGTGAGGGATCCCTGAGGGGAGAGAGCCCCGGGATCATCGGCCCGGGAGGAGTGAGGGATCCCTGAGGGAAGGGAGCCCCGGGATCATCGGCCCGGGAGGTGTGAGGGATCCCTGAGGGGAGAGAGCCCCGGGATCATCGGCCCGGGAGGTGTGAGGGATCCCTGAGGGGAGAGAGCCCCGGGATCATCGGCCCGGGAGGGGTGAGGGATCCCTGAGGGGAGAGAGCCCCGGGATCATCGGCCCGGGAGGAGTGAGGGATCGAGGCTCTCTGAGGGGGAGACCCCCCGGGATCATGGAGTCCAGCCACTGACCCATCCCCACCTTGTCACCAATACAGAGCACCCAGTGCCACATCCAGGCCTTCCTTGGACACCTCCAGGAACGGGGACTCCAAATTTCCCTGGGCAGTTCCAATCCCTGACCACCCTCTTCATGAAGGAATTTCTCCTGGCCCTACCCTGGCACACCTTGTTTCACCTTGTTTCTGTCCCATGTTCCCTGGGAGCAGAGGTGACCCTCACATGGCTGCAATCACTGACTGTGAGCAGTAATTAGTGTGTGTCAGTGATGAGTTATCCCATTGTCCCCAGCGTTTGAAGGGTGTGTGTATTAACCCCATTTGGGGGTCCCTGGTGTGGCTGGGACACTTGAGTGGCTGCCCAGGGTGGAGCCAGCCTCCCTGGAAGCGTTCAGAGCACGAGCCCAGGTGGCCCTTGGCCCGAGGGTTTGGTGGATTCAGGGAGGTTGGATTGGATCTTCACCATAACAATTCCATGATTCTGTGTGCATAAATAAACACTTCCCCTGCAGTTCTGCAGCCGTGCTCCAGCCTCTCCCTGGCTGAGGTGTGAGTTTCCCTGGCCCTGCCGTGGTTCCCAGCATGTACCTGAGCAGTGCTGCCCGTGCCCAGAACCTTCTGTGTGCCGGGCTCCGGCGGCTCCCGCTGATCCAGCAGCACTCCAGAGGGTTCTCTTACAAAGCTGTGATCTTTGAGGAGAGCGGGGTGCTGCTCCCAGCCCCTCACAGGACAGCCACAGGTGTGTATTCCCATTCCTGATCCCGCACAATCACAGAATGTCCTGAGCTGGGAGGGACTCACAGGGATGATCATCCATTCCTGCCTTGCACAGGCATCCCAGCAATCCCCACCCTGTCCCTGAGAGCAGTGCCCAAGTTCACCCAGAGCTCTGGCAGCTTTGGGTCCGTGCCCATTCCCTGGGGAGCCTGGGCAGTGCCAGCACCCTCTGGGGCAAGAACCTTTCCTGATATTTCAGCCTAACTGAGCCCTGGCACAGCTGCAGCCCTTCTCTTGGTCTGGTCCCTGGTCACCAAATCTCCTGTTGTCCCTGTGCATGGAGGGAAGATAAAATTCAGGTGCCTCTTTCAGCTGTCTCTGGTGAGACACCCAAGAACTTGTGATGGTGGGACCTGTTGTGCCATCAAAAGTCACCCTGCACCCCCCCGGTGACAAAACTCTCCTGTAGTGCCACCACCTGATGCCACCCAAGGCTGGTGCAGTCCTCCAGCAGTTTTAGGAATTCTCCATGCTGAAAACAGGCATGAGGTGCTCCTGGAATGCCCAAACTCTTCCCTCTGTGCTGTGTCAATCACCCCAGTGCAGCACATCATTCTCACAGTGCTGGGCCCTGTATCGACCTCAGAGAGATTCCCAGCTGATTTCCCAGTCTGCTGATGCCCTTTCCTGCCTTCCCTGCTGTTCTCCATGCAGACTGGGAGGCCCGGAGCTGCATTCCAGCTGGCACCATCCAGCGAGCTGCACTGTCTGGAGGGGAGAACAGCCTCTCTCTGCAGTATTCCAGAGGAGAGCTGACAGCTGTGGAGTTCCTGCAGGAATTGGGACAGCAGTGCTTTGAGATTGTAAGCCAACTCCCCCCCTGCTCTCCTTGTGCTTCCTGGCTGCATGGAAACAGGTCCAGTGAGGAAAGAGGAGCTTTAAAAAGAAATTCTGTGGTTGAAGGGTCTGGATTTTCCATCTAGGAAGCACTGCTGTTGGAGCAGGGCAGATTTCCACCATTATCCCGGTGTCTGGCAGGGCAGGCAGATGAATTTGCCTTAATTTCCTACTGGAATAAAGTCCTTTTTAAACACCTCACATTCATATGCAGATTCCTTTCCTGCCTGCTGAGCTGTCAGTGTCTGTCTCTAACCTGCCTTGATCCCATGGCAGGCACAGTCCCAGTGATTTCTCTTTCCCAAATCAGCCCTTTATCTCTGCTGTAGAGTTAGGAATGTGAGAACATTAGTTTATTTGGGCAAAGCAATTTAGCTGAGATTCCCTGCCTGCCTTCTGCTGCCAGAGGAAGCAGGACAGAAGATAAGATGATCAGGCAACCTATCCACCCAACCACTCTTATTTTCACTCCATTTCTGGCCCATCATCACTGTTGGGCTTTCTCTGTTTCTCAGGCAAATGTCCGTGTTCCAGTGCACTCCTTTCTTTGGGATTTAATCCTAAAGGAGATGAGAAAACAGCTCCCCATAATGGCAGAAGCAGCTCAGTGTATCCGGGCAGAAGGGCTTAAGACAGCTCTGCTGAGCCACAGCTTGTGCCTGGGGGATGGAGAGAGGTTCCTGCCCCTGGACCAACAGCACTTTGATGTGGTAAGTCTGGATGGATCCCAAATGGGGCTCTGCTCCTCCACCTGTGAAAGCAGCAACTGAAATGCTTTAAGTGCAGGTAGCAGTTGAGCAGCAGCACAGTTTGGTTGACATCAGTGGAACAGACTGGGAAAGCATTTCCTGACACAATTCCTTGCAGGCACTTGGAGAGGGGCTGAGTGACATTTGCAAATCCACTGCAAAGTGCCCACACAACCACGAGTCTCTGTGTAACAGGCACAGGCAGCGATGGAGACAGAGGACTTGGAAGCTGGAACACCAGACTAGAAATAAATGTTATTATTCAGTGCCCTGCCTGCTTTAAAAAAACAAACAAAAACAAGCTTTAAAAGAGTAAGGACTCTTTGAAGAGTTCATCACCCCCTGTGCCACAAAAAACCCACTACCCCAACATGCTGACCTGGGTGAGTCTCCTCTCCCTGCACAGATCCCTCTCCCAGCAGAGTCTCCTTTCCCAGCACACTTCACCTTTGTGTAGGTAACACAGATTAGCAGATTAGGTGACACATGAACCTCGAGGCTCCAATACCCACGGCCTCTCCAGTGTGTGCTGCTCCGCAACAGCCCTGCACAGCAATTAGTGGGGGGAAAATAATTGAATGTTGATTTCCATTAGTGTTGGCTTTATATCCATCCAATGGATTCATTGCTGTTCCTGGAGCGTTACAGAGAGCAGGGGAATGGCTGCTTGGATTGTTCATGGTTGTGAGGGCAGTGGGGGTGTTCAGACACTGAGTCAGTGCTTTTTTGATCCAGATTTTAGGTGGATGGTTATGGTCAACACAGCTGCTGTGGAGATGGCTTTGGGGTGGCTGGTGGGTGCAGTGGTCAGGACGCTGCTTTTCCAAAGCCTTTGGAAGGTGCTGCCATCCAAGGCTTCCTTGGACAGCACTGAACAACTGGTCTGGGACACCCAGTGAGTCTCCCACATTGGGACATCTCATTGGATATCTTCCATCCAAGGACTGGCTGATCCTGTTTGGCTGATTTGAGTGGAGGAGCCACGGCCAAAGCAGTTGGCACCCACACAGTCCCTGCAACCACAGCCTACCCAGCTCCACATCCTTCATTTCTCATGTTAATTAGACAGTCTCTTTCCCACCCTCCCATCTCCATTTCCAGCACTGCCCAGATGTTTGTGGTCACACAGGCTCATGCATATTCCATCTGCTGTTGCTGTAGATGGTTGAATCACATCAGGAAGGGGTGCCCAGGCCAAATCCTGGGATCTACAAGCTGTGCTTGGAGCGCCTGGGTGTCCAGCCCCAGGAATCCATCCTGCTGGACAGCAGCAGCCAGAACCTGGAGGCAGCAGCCCAGCTTGGCATGAAAACAGTGAAGGTACAAAGTGGCACAGCCAGGGTGGGATTTGGGGATGGATTTTGGGTCCAGAAGCTGTTTGGTTTGAACAGCTCCGGATTTCCAAGTGGCAGTGGCTGACTCTTGCCAAGCCTTTTGTTCCAGCCTTGCTTGTCCCTGCAGGATGTGGTGGGGTTAAAGCAGGGATCACTGCCAAAGTCTGCTCTGGGCTATTTTACTCATGGCTCCAAACCCTGTGTAACCTCAGGGAAGTCTCTCCTCTCCCGTTCCTCTGTTCCCTATTGGAGAAACAGCCCCATCCCTATGGTTCAGACAACCACAGCAGAAAATGAGCCCCAGTTAATGAATTCCCAGAAACTCTGAGGCCTCATGGATGAGTCAGCTGGGGACTGACAGGTTACCCCCAGGCTTTGGGGTCAGTGAGCACAGGGGTTTTACTTTGGGGACCATTGGGAAAAGGACAAGAGTGGGACTGGTGGGAAGAGTGACCTCCACTCCCCTGGACTGCACACAGGGAATTCCAGCTCTTATCCCAGCCCAAGCTCACAGTGCCTGTGCCACCATCACAGCTGTCTCCAGGGCAGAGTAAAGGTGGGAAGCTCTGTGTTGGCAGGGAATGACCCATGAATTCCTGTGTGTCACTGGATCAGTGCTGATAAATGCATCCCAACCAGGCAGGGCTCTCTCTTTCCCAGGAGATTTTGTCTTCTAGCTGTCACCCAGTGCTACTCTCTCCCTTCTGGTTTCAGGTTGATGATCCAGAAGCAGCACTCAAAGAGCTGGAAACCCATCTGGGATTTCCTTTGCAAGGGTTCGTTCCCTATACTCGTTCAGTGAGACCAGGCCTGGAAATCCCAAAGGATCGTCTACAAAAGTACATTGAGGATGTTCTTGGTGCCCACACAACAGGTATTGCAGTGGGTTTGGCCCTTCCATCAGAAAACCTGGATATTCTGGAGCTATTGGCTTTTTCCATATGACATAGGGAGTGAAAAATAATATTAAGGAAAGGCTTGTAATCTCCAAGCAACAGCACAGCCATTCCAGTTTCAGTGATCCGTCACTTTCCTAGAATTAAGAAACAACATTTGAGGACTTCCTCATTTTGGGAGGGGTTGAGCACAAGTGGCCAAAGAGATGCCAGGAATATTCCTGTCCTGTGAGGCAGCTGTGAGCTACAGCCATGTTCCCCAGGAGTTTGGGACACAGGGGAGATCTCAGCCCCAGGTGCAGGAAGGGGATGGAAAGCCTGGAGAAGTGCTGACCCTCTGCTCCCACCTCCCAACCCCACTGCAGTTACGGCAGTTTGACCACGGAGAGCCCACCCGGAGCTATTTGGTGAAGTTTGGAGGTCGTTTGCTGGTGCTGAAGAAGGAGGAGGAGCCTCCCGATGGCCCCTCAGGCCCTTCTGTCCCACGGGAATACAGGTGAGGCAGTTTGCTGTGCCAGAGGAGCTGCCCCAGCACCAGAGGAGCAGGACACGTGGAGAGGATCATTTATGACCTGCCCTTGTTTTCCAGAGTGTGGGATAGGTCTGGGGGCTCGGGCCATGGGAAGATGTAGGTGTGCTCCTTTCTCCTCCCCCCAGCCACATGATTTTAGTATATTTAAAGCTGAGCACAGTGATATGGTGTGTCTGCCTCCAACACAGCAGTTCCAGGACTAATTCCTTGCACCTCTCTCCCTCCCTGGCAGGGTCCTGAAGGCTCTGGCTGAGGCTGGTGTTCCTGTGCCCCCTGTGCTTGCTCTCTGCGAGGACAGAAGGTAATTCTGTCCCTCAGCTTTCTCTCTGTGCTTTACAACTGCAGCCAGATTCCCCCAAAGATGAAGAGAGAAGGAACCAGAGCTCACAGAGTGCTCTGATCTAATGAACATTTGTGCAGTGTGGGGCTGGAGGAGCCTCTAGAAGTTCAAAGGACAGAATCACTTTTATTTGGTTTGGTTTAAGTATGTCCCATTATAGCAATTAATCCAAAAGCTCTCTCTGAAAAGCACTTATAAAGCAATATTGTAGGGCTTCCTGCTGACTCAGAGTGCTCAGGTTTGTAATAAAGAAAGGATTTTTCCAACTGCCAGACCTCAGACAGCAGTGACAGCAGCAGATCTGTGACAGGACAGCCCTGAGGCCTGCAGCCTGCTCAGATCTCTGCTGGCTGCAGGACTCAGTGTCTGCACTGCAGCTCGATGTGTGCCCACTGCTCCTGGTGTTTGTGAGCAGCCCGACAGCCCAGCTCACGGGCGCTGCAGGAGCAGGGGAGCAGCTGCTGCTGGAGCCTGGCTCCAAGCTCAGCTTCCTGGGGCTGGAGGGGCCAGGGCTGGGCATGCCCCAGCCACGGGCCACAGGCAGCCTGAGCGGGGCTCCAAGCGCTGCTGGGGCTGCTCTTCACCTGCCCACACAGGCCTGGGGGGCACGTTCAAGGTGCAGGTGAGATCTGGAGGGTAGTGGCAGGATTGACATCAGCCCCACACATCCCAGTTTGCTTCCCCAGCATCCTTGGCACTCCTTTCTTCCTGCTGGAGCACTGTGCTGGCCACATCCACCGCGCCGTGTCCCTGCCCGCAGTGCCGCCGCGCCAGCGCGGGGCCTGGTACGGGGCCATGGCAAACGTCCTGGCCAGGATCCACAGCCTGGACCTCGGAGCTGCCAAGCTGCAGGACCTCGGAGAGCACGGTGAGAGCAGCCTCTGGATCCTTTCTTCTCCTGGGTGTCAGCATTTCTAGGGATAGGCAGGATGGACCAAACTGGGGGCAGGAGGGAAAGTGAGGATGAGCAGTCCAGAGTCTGAGTCCCCAGGTGTGGTGGGAGGGTGTGAAGAGCTCTCCCAATCCAGGTTTCCTGTGAGTTCCCAAAGTTCTCCTACCTCCCAGAGCTTCCTGCCATGTTTGTTGCCATCTCTGCCCACTTTGGGTACAGGAGTAACTTCTTTGCTGCCATCTCTGACCAAACCTTCCCACCTTCCCAAGCATCCCCTCCAGTTCCTCTGCAGAGACAGCTCAGTTTTCTGGAGCTGGTGGATAAGTTATATTTTTGTCCAGGATTGGATTCTTTCCACCTGAATATTAAATCCAGTGCCCAGTTAAGAAAGTATGAGACCTTTGGACATTGCAATTAAAATCTTGGAGCTTAAATTGGGGTTGTGGACTGAGATCTGCCTGGCTGTTTGACTTTTCCTGTGTCCCTTTTGAAGCCTCTTTGTGCCTTTCCCTAGGAGCCTCTGTTTTTCTGTTCCAGGAAATTACATCCAGCAGCAGGTTGAGACCTGGACAAAGCAGTATCGAGCTGTGGAAACTCACGTGATCCCAGCGATGGAGAGGCTCATCCAGTGGCTGCCTCTGCATTTTCCTGAATCCCAGAAGACAACAGTGGTGCATGGTGATTTCAGGTATTGCCCTGGAGCACATCCCAGGCAGCAAACAAGGACTGAGTGTAAAATGACCCTCAGACTCCAAAAGGTTCTGATTGGGCTGGGGCAGCAGCTTCAGAGCAGCCCAAAAGCTGGGGTTTGGGTCAGGGTCAGCATCCCCAGGGAATGAGATTGAGTTTCTTCATCCAGCAGCTGCAAATGCTGGTCTGACACTGGAGGATCATCAGCTCTTCCTGAAATACTCAGAATCAGCCTGATCTGAGGCTCTGACTAACTTGGTTCCATTCTCCAAAGCACAGTTTAGTCCATTATTAACCAGGGAGTTCAATATTGAGTAACCTCCATCCTCTGCTTGCAGAAATTAATGTTTCACTTTGTGCTGCCTTCCAAAGGACTCAGCAATTATTGAAGAGTGTGAAGAGCACTGAAAGCACCTACTGCTGCTGAGCACAGGGATTTTTCCCTCCTCTGGAGACTTTTCTGATCTCTTTTTCCCTCTGATACAGGATGGACCACCTGGTCTTTCATCCAGACAGGCCAGAAGTCCTTGCTGTGCTGGGCTGGAAGTTTGCCACTCTAGGAGATCCCATGTGTGATTTGGCGAATAACTGTATGAGCTTCTTCCTGCCAGCCCACTTTGGTGCTCACAGAGGTACAGAGGGGGCACAGTCACCTTTGGCACACGCAGAGGAACCAGAGCTCAGAACAGATCAGCTCCTGCCCAAGCAGCTCAGCTGGCAGTGGGGCTCAGTGCAGCTGGAAAGGGCTCTGGCTTTGCATTGTTTTCCCTCTCACTCCAGCTGGGAAGCTGGGCAACTCTTTTGGGTGGGAAAGTTGTGAAGCAGATCAGGACTGGTTTGTGCACTAAGTTATACACTTCTTAAAAAGAAAAATACAGCATTAAACGGAGAGGTTCCTTCATTTAGGAGAGATCTCTGTCAGTCACAGTTTCACCCTAACCAGGAGAACTGCCCCATGTGCATTTTGGGGCAGGGGCTGGTGCCAAGCCCCAGAATTCCATACAGAGCCAGCACTGCAGCTGTGCAGGTCCTGGAGGGTGCAGGTGCCTCCATGGAGGGGCCAGGCTGTGCCACAAGGCTCACACCATCCCGTGGGAGCTCTGAGCTGCTCTGGCAGCTGACTCACTGGTACCTCTTCTCATCTTCCAGGCTTGAGGAAGTGTGACTTGGGGCACCTGGGAATTCCCACAGCAGAGGAGTATTCCCAGATGTACTGTGGCCACCTGGGAGTGGAGCGCCCGGAGAGCTGGAATTTCTACCTGGCCTTTGCCTTTTTCCGCCTGGCTGTGATGCTGCAGGGGCGTCACCGTGGCTCCCTGGCAGGTGAGGAGCCCACCAGGCCAGCTGTGCCCTGCACGGGGCACAGCCAGGGGCACGGAGCTGCCTCCCTGCTCCAGCACAGGCCTGTTCCTGCCTGCTGTTTGTGCTGTGAGGTCTTCCCTTTCCTGGGAGAACTGAGCAGAGGCCAAAGTTGGGAGCCCAGAGCTGTGTCCTACAGATGGAGCTCTCAGACCTTCCAGCTCAGCACCAGCCTTTGCCAAGGGACTCACAGGGAGGTGGTGAGAGCTCTGGGAGCTGTTTGTCTGCACACATCAGGTGTGGCCTTGGAGCCTTTATCAGAATTAAATCTGATGTTATTTTCACATCCTTAGAGAGGAGTTTCTCCGAGTCCTGCTGGGCTGGCCCAGAGGAGGGCAGGTGATGCTGTTTGGGATGTGACTACCTAACACAGGCTTTTCCAAACAAGTGTCCTGTTCTCTTGTCCCCAGGGAGGCCAGCTCCAGGTGACAGGAGCCCCAAGGATGCAGAGTTTGTGGCCGAGCTGGCTTGGGATTTTGCCATTAAAGAAGGATTCCGTGTGTTTGAGAACCTCCCCCCCACAAAGCTGCTCGTGAGACATTCCAGCACCTGGGCCGGGCAAGGGCCACTCCTGGGCAGGAGTTACAGCACCTGGGCACGGCCTGGGGCAGCCCCTGTGCCCAGAGCCCCCCTGGTCACCCCCCCCAGCAGCCTGGGGATGGCCCAGGGGCTTTGCTGCAAGATGGAAAATACGGGCATCCAGTGGGGCTTTCCGAGTTCTCATTCCAGGGGGACTGCACATCCTCTGCCAGAGCTGCAGGTGAGACATCTGTGCTGAAGCTGCTTTGCTGCACCTGCCCCAGGGGAGGGATTGTGGCCTCCAAGTGTCCTGGCTCTCGTGATCACATCAGACATTTGGCACTCCTGGAGTCCAGGGGTTTGGAGGAAAAGGGCTGGGTTCATATGGCTGCAATAGAGTTCATATCCTGGGAAACAGTGATTTTGGAAGCTGGCACTCCCTTCCAAGAGGAGCAGATTAACACCAGCCCAGCTGTGGTTGCTTGCCCAGGTCCTGCCATCCGTGCTGATGGTGTGCCCAGAGCATGGCTGGGCTGGGCTTTTCAACTCTTGCCAGTCCAGGAAGAAATGGTTGTTCCTTACCTTTCCCTGTCCAGGGAAGCCTCACTTCTGTCTCCCTCTGGGAAAGGCTGAGCTCATTCCCTTCTCTCTGTCCCTCTGGTGCTCCCTTGGGAGCTCCCTCAGATGGGGCAGGGAGCTGCTTGCACCTCCCCAGCTTCCATTCACAGTGTGAGTGGAAGCAAACAGCCCCACCCTTGGGCTGCTACCAAGATTATATTCCTAATTATTCTAGTGACATTATCAAATTCTAGTGGGTTACTTAACCTTCTTTCAGCTGCCAAAAAAATACCCAGGTGCCCTTCCAAAGTGTTTCCTTGTGCTCTGGCAGAAACCAGCAAATGCCAGTGTGTCAGGGCACTTGGCAGCTGATCTGCTGAGAAGGTGGAAAGGGCAGGGAAGCAGCAGCTGTGGGGAATTTGGAGGTGCTGAGATGAGCAGATCTCCTTGCCCTTCCTCGAAACACTCATCTTTGCCAAGTCTCCAAACATCAGGATTGCCACACTCTCTCCGCTCCATGCCTTGGGCTTGTGGAGATGCTGCTCCTGGTGTGTGGCACCACAGAGCCCCCTCATCCCTGTCACCTCCACATCCATCCCACTGCTCCTTCCCTTGGCATCATCCCTGCACTGTCAGCCTTTGCTGTGGAAGAGTGTTGTGAAAGCCAGGGGAGGAGTTTTGCTGCCTGCAACAGCAAGATAATGCAGAGGATTGTTACACAGCCAAATATTCCCTGGAACTGCCACAGTGCTCCAGAGCTGGGCACGGCCAAGGGCAAGGGCAAGGCTGGCCCTGCCAGCTTGCACTGCCAGGGGGAGGTTCATCCCTGGGGGCTGGCAGCCAGGTGCCCTTGGCTGAGTGTTCCTGGCTGAGCAGGGCAGGATCTCAGCTGATCCTGCCTCATCCCACACCAGGAGCCAGCAGACTCCACACTGATCCCAAAGGCTGCCTGTCCCTGCAGCTCTCGGGGAGATCCTCTCCAGAGGAGCAGAGGGAAGCTCAGTTTGTCCTTCAGAGCCATGGCTGGCTGTCAGAGGGGCAGCACCAGGGGCACTAGAGCTCTCATGGGTCTCATCCCAGACACAGAGTGCCAGGACAAGGCACTGATGGCTGCACAGGCCATGGATCAGGGCACCAAGGTGAGCAGATTCCTCAGGCTCGAGCCTTCCCTGACCCAAAAAGAGCAACACTGGGACCCCCACTGAGTCTGGGGCCTATGAGCATGAGGGGTGATCTGTCCTGTCTGCTGTGGGATCCCCAGTGCAGGTGTTTCCCCAGCACTGGGTCCCCAGGGATTTGGAAGGCTCTGGGACATTGCTGCCTGGTCCTGCAGCCCTCTGTGTGCCTACATGGGCTCTGGTCTCACTCTCCCACAGGTCCCTGGAGCAAAACATCTCCACAGTGCAGATCCCAGCCCAGCACTTCCCTTGGACCTGAGCTCCACATCTGGCTGAGGGTCCCCAGGGTTCACAGGACAGGACTCTCCAAACCAGAGCTGAGCCAGGAGCTGCAGCACTGGGAAACCTCAGATGGGGACCCAAACCAGCCACTCTGGCATGGGAGAGGCCGTGCTGAGGGCAGCCTGTGAGCTTCTCAATTCCAGTGGTGTTTGGTGTTATCTGTGCTCAGTGCTTTTATTGCCTGGCTCAATACAGGGCCAAGTCCAGCCTTGGATCATGAGGCTGCAGGAGTCAGAACTGCAGCAGGGAGAGTTGGTTGGGAGTGACCTGGCTGGGGGTGCACGACTTGGTTTTGGGAATAAAGAGAATGGACCAGCGCATCTCCTTCAGCACATCTCTTCTTCTTCAGCACAACCTCCAGCAACTTGCAGATGCTGGAAGAATCCTCAGTGGTGGAAGGAACTGAATCCAGTCCTCGAGGTCTCTGGATTCAGGGGAGACTCAGGAGCTGAGGCAGTGCCTGCCCTGTGGAGCTGGGAGAAACTGGGAGGACTCCATGGTCCCATGAGTGTGGTGGGGTCTCTTTGGGGACCACGGAGGATGCAGACTGGATCAAGGGAGCTTTCAGTGCTTTTCAGAGCTAGGTGAGAACTGTGGGAACAACCATGATAACTTTATGAATGTAAGCAATTTATATGTTGCATTAATTAATTACTAAAGTAATGGGTACGGTTCTTTGGGTTCTCCTGCTCCTCCGGCGTGGGTGCAGCTCACAGCCCATCTGCCCAGGGTGGCCACCACCTGCCAGCCCTCAGGGGCACAAGGAGTGCTGCAGAGAGCCCTGGGGGCCGTGCTGGCTCTCAGCACAAGGACCAAGAGGCTGAAGGGAAGCCGGTAACCTGAGCCTTGGATTCTCCCAAGCTCCAGGGTGAAATTCCACCTCAGCCTCGGGCATTTGGCTCTGCTGTGGAAGGGGGAGGGAGCTGAGCCTGTCTCTGCCCAGCCCAGATATTTGGGATGGTTTCCCAGCAGGCGCCTGACTCCTGCGCCTCCCACCTCCCTCGGGCAGGCTCAGGGGACAAGAGCCGCGTCTGCCCTGGGGGGTTTAGTGCTGCTGGATCTGCCTCCAAGCCGAGGGGAGGGAAGGGGCTGCTCGAGAGAGCCAAAGGCTTTATTTAACACGCACTAGTGCTCAAAGCCATGGTTGTCCATGCCGGGATCAGGCACAGACAGAACACTCACGAGGGTTTAGCCCCGAGCTGGAGCTCAGCTCTGTGACGTCCCTGCGGACACCTTGAGCCGCTCCCTCTGGGACACACGGGCACATCTCTGCAGGGAGGACAGTTCTGGCATCTCCCACGGGCGGTTTAACATGCACAGGGCTGTGACAGGAGGCAGAACAGTCGGAACAAGAGGCCCTTAGGAGTGCCACTTTGTAAAGGGCAGCCCAGGAGCCACTGCCCGGGAATCCACCACCCTGCAAGGGACACGAGCGGACCAAGGATGAGGGAGGCTGAGACCCAGCACATGAGGATTTCTTTTCAGCTGATCCGGGAAACGCTCGGCCTAATCCGTGTCCCGCTGGATAACCTGGCACGGGCGCTTTGCCGTCTCTGGGCTGTGCTGTTCCTCCCTGCTGGTACAACTGGGCTGAGTACACCCAGCCCAGGAGAGAAATGCCTGGAAAGTGCAAATGCTGGAACCTCCAGCAAGACTTTCAGCCACATGGGTCATCCAGGACAGCGGGTGAAACTATTCCTGAACTCACATATTCTACATTTTTTTTGTCCCCTTTAACAAACCAGAGACATCCGTGTCACCCTTCACAGACTCCTCACTGAGTCTCTCATACAGGGTAATACCACAGGTCTTTTTTCCCCAGAGGTTAAAAACCTCTCTGCATTTTTGGTCTGTGGCTTCCTTAGTGATGTTGATGATAACCCGAGCACATCTCTGCTCCCTGCATGTGAATCTGCACTTGGATACGCTGAAGTTGCACAAGACATATAAAACAAACCAGAGAAAAAGGCCTTTAGCCATTGTTGGGAGCGATTTCACAAAGCCTCTCATTTGCATTCACCGAGAAATTCCCTGTTGTGAAAGCACTTCCCTGGCTTTGTTCCACTGCCCCTACACACGGGAGGGTTTTTTTGGGTGTCTGGGTGGACAGTAATGGTGGCACATTCATGGAACCGGGAGTCCAGGTCCCCAAATTCTCCCTCCTCACCTTCCCGCAAAAGTAAAAAGAGATTTCTGGGTCTTTTTTTTTTTTTTTTTTTTTTTTTTCTTTTCTCTTCTCCTAGTTGTTGCCTGCAATTAGGCACAAAGTTCCCTGGGTATGGGCCGGGACATGGCAGAGACAGGACAGGGACAAGGACAATGCTGGACACGATGAGGCACCCACGGTGCACCAAACCAAGCCTGATTTGAAACGAACGGAGCTGAACCGACCAGAACGGCGCTGAGCTGTGCCGAGCCCACCCGAGCCACGCCAAGCTGATCCGAACGGGGCCGTGCTGAGCCCAGCTGAGCTGAGCCGAGCCAAATTGTGCTGCTCGATCCGAGCTGGATCGAGCCTATTCCACACGAAGCAAGGACGCCAAGCTGGCTCTGCTCGTGCCGTGCCCAGGCGAGCCGGGGTGGGCGGTGCCGAGCGGTGCCGGGGCGGGGCGGGGGACGGAGCGGGGCTGTCCCGGCTTGCGGGGCCCGGCCCGGCCCAGCTGAGCTCAGCATGCTGCGGGCGGTGGTGCGCGGCTCCCGGCTCTGCCCGGCCCTGCTCCGGGCTCCCTTCTCGGCCGCCGCCGCTTCCCCCATCCCGGCGCCCAACCCGCGCCCCGACATCGCCTATAACAAGGTATGACCGAGCTGGGAGCCCGGGCCGGGCCGGGCGGGTTCGGGGCTGCCGTGTCCGCCGATCGAGCTCGGTGCAGGGCTGGGCCAGCGCGGGGTGGCGCTGAGCCCGGAGCAGCCGGGGATTTGGGCCCAAAGCCTTGGGAGAGAGGAACCCTGGGTGCAGCCGCCGGTGCGGGGCACAGGGCGCGTGTCCCATCGCCACCGGGCTCTGCCCCCTTCCCCTCGGTGGGCTCAGCAATCCCGCATCGGTGCGAACGGCATAAGGAAAAAACTCTGGGGAAGGGCACGGGAGAGAAGGGAAGGTGCTTGGCCGGTTATCTGCAGAGACTGGACCCTTGTTCCAGGAAAATCCTGTGGGATCACCTGTGCGAGGTGCTGCTGGAAGGCAGCGTTCCAAGGCACCCGGGCACTCCTTCCCCGGCGGCTGTGCCCAGGCTCTTGGTGGTTGTCTGGGCGTTCTGCAAGTTCTTGGCGAGCACCACGATCTTTGCACTCCCCTTCTCTTGCCACAGACCTGAAAAAAAAATTACCCGTAGAAAGAAAGAGTTGGTAAAGCTGCTGTTAGCACCTGGTTCTGGTACATGGGGAGCCTAAAACTGGTTAATCTGGGAAATAACAGAATCATTTAGATTGAAAAAGACCCTTAAGGCTCATAAGAAATACTGCAAAAGCTTTGGTGCTCTGGACAAAATCGACTCACTGTAGTGTCTATGCCTAAAGCATTTTCCCACTCTTCAGTCTCCTGAACTTCCCAGTGCTCCTGCACAGCTCCAGCCAGGCTTCCAGCTTTTGCAAGGACCTACCAAGATGGGAACCTCTTCCAACTCACGTGCTGTTTGCTGAGCTCTGAATTCTTTTATTCACTTGAGGCTGTGTTGTGTGCTTTTAGGCTAAAGTATCTCCTTCATATTGCTGCAGGTTTGGAGCCCACACAAGTCAAGTTAAGCTCTTTTAATTAACCAGGCTCCTCAGATGCCATCAAAGAAGCAAAGCTCTCCCTGATTTCCCCGGGATCTGGCTCAAAGGCTCACCCTGCTTGGCTTTTTCCTTGCAGATTTTCATAAATAACGAATGGCACGATGCAGTCAGCAAGAAAACCTTCCCCACCATCAACCCAGCCACGGGAGAAGTCATCTGCCAGGTGGCTGAGGGCGATAAGGTAAATGTTGTTGGGGTGAGATGGGTTTGTTCTCCATGGGAGCAGGTCCAGAGGGGCTGCAGAGGAAGGCACCACCCCATGTCCCACCTGGGCAACTCTGTGTTTGCAGCAGTGTCTGATCTGTGTAAATACCACGTCAAGTGCTGCTAGTGTCCTTCCTTGACTACTGCTAAAAAAAAAAAAAAAAAAGAAATGATGGGGAATAAAGTCACGTCATCATCACCTGCCTTATGCAAGGCCCTCCTGGGAGTCTGTGGCAGAGCTGAGGTGGTGTTTCCCAGCAATTTGGGGTTTTTCCTACAGTCTGGAAACCTGTGTGTGTTCCCCAAGGGAGGAGTGAGTGAGGGAAACCCTTTGTTGTTTGCTTCTCCGTGGCAGCCTGGCTTGTCCTGGCGAGACCATTGCAGCAAGGACAGAGAACCAAGTAGGAACCAGCAAATGCCCTGTCAGGACAAAATCATGGAGCAGAGACAGCTGATCAAGGAAAAAAAAATCTCCTTTGGACTGGATTCTGAAAAAGTACCAAAAGTAGACTTCCAGAGCTTTTTCCTTGCCTCCTCCTAGGACGCAAATATTAACCCAGCAGGTGACACTGCAGAAATAACCTGATGATATTTGCTCTCTGTGTAGCTGAAATAACAGAGGGTGAGCACAGGCAGAGGTTGTGGCTGCACAGCTGTTGCACCCATCTGCTCCTCTGCCATTGCTGCTGCTTCCTCCTCACGGCTGCAGCCTGGGTGGGAAAGCTGTGTCCTCGCAGTGCTCGTGGGGAAAGTGGCCCAGGGCTGCACCCTGTGCTCCCCTGCCCTGGGACTCAGGAGTGCCTTGCAGCAGGGCAGCTGCCAAGGCTGCAGGTTCTTCCCCCAGGAGCCTGGCAGGAGCAGCCTCTTGTGCTGCCTGGCTGCAGGCTGTTTTCTCCTGCACAGCAGGGAGAGCTTTTGTTGTTTCCAGAGAGGGAAGGGGGGCTGGTTAATCCTTCCTCACCCTTTGCCTGGGCTCCCCCGCAGGCAGATGTGGACAAGGCAGTGAAGGCAGCCAAGGCAGCGTTCCAGCTGGGCTCTCCCTGGAGGAGGATGGATGCATCTCACCGCGGGAAGCTGCTGAACCGTCTGGCTGACCTGATCGAGAGGGACCGCGCCTACCTGGCCGTGAGTGCGGGGCTGGGATCCACGGGGGCTGTGTGCGCTGCTGGGCTGGGGCCTCACCCCCAGCTCACACCTGGGACACACTCACAGAGCGTGGGGAGCCACTTTTGGCAAGCTGAGAGCAAAAGGCCAACGTGCAGGACAGATCCAGGCTGCAAACTGAGAACTGACTCAGGGCTGCACATGTGAGTTCCCCCCGGCACCTCAGGAAACTCTGCTGT